TTGCAAGTAGGTTGGTTAATAACAATATTATATAAGCAGTATTCAATAGTAGGGATAATAACTGTATTAATAATATAGCAGGCCTGTGAATTAGTTGTTTTTGCAATGTGGATAAGTTGGAAGGATTCAGAGATAATTAATTTTGTTTGTTTAGATTGCCTATTATCTAAAATAAACCAGCAACCTAAAAATTTAAAGGGTTGTTTAAAAGAATAAAGTGAAAGTAAATGATTGTTATAAGATATAGAAGTATAGTTGGGTGGAAGGTTATTAGTAATCAGAATAGATTTTGAAAGATTAACTTGAATATTTGTTATAGTATAAAATAATTCAGCTATAAATAGTATATGAGATAACTCAGTTTGTGAAAAAGTAACCCAAAGAGTATTGTCCATATATACTAAAACAGAGCATTGTTTTTGTAATGAGTTAGTTGTTTGAAGTTTTAGATTGGTGGTCCAAGTAGATTGTAGAGTATACCTAGGAACTTTTAGTATATGTATAAAATAAGTGGATCATAATAAATTTATTATAATAAAGATGTAATTGTTTTACCTTGGTCAATACCATTATGAACTAAGTAAGAGAGAGTAAAACCAAGATTGGTAATAACTTGGTTGTAACAATCAGTAAGAAGATCAATAAGAATGTTAATAATGAATGAAGGGAATAAGAGACAAGAGAGTGAATGTTTGAAAAGAGCAATGTTTACAGAATCATATGCTTTGTTCATATGTTGTGAGAGTAACCAAATGTCTTAGTGATTACAGATAGCATCTTTAATAAGATTATTGAGAATGTGAATAGGAATTGAAGTACTATTATTGAGGAGTGCAATATAGTTAAAAGGTGAGAGAATAGAATTTGAAGAAAATATAAAGCTAAGTCAGTTTGCAAGAATTTTTGTGTAAGTTTGCAAATGTGTTCAATCAGACTGATAGGTCATATAAGATTAAGGTCATCATCAAAGATGTTGCATTTAGGAATAGGATAAATTCTACTATGTTTTATTGTTTAGGAATTTTGTTGTCAAGAAAACAACAATTAAAGAGAGCTGTGATAGCAGAAGTGCATTGGAGACTAATGTGTTTAAGCATTTTATAACTAATGTCTGTAAAACCACAGGCTTTGTTAGTAGGTAGTTGTGAGAAGGTTTGAAGAAGTTCTTCATTAGTAATAGGAGTGTTAAGTGAATAATACCAATTTGGATTGATGTGAGGAAGTAGAAGGTATTGTTGTTGCCAAAAATTATTAAAGAGGCTTTCATTGATAGATCTGAGTGTAGTCCAATCATGAAAATAGAATTGGACATATTGTTTAATAAGTGATGGATCTGTAATGAGTTGGTTTGGTAATTTTATGTTTGAGAGATGAACAGATTGATGATAGTGATTGAAAATGCTATTAATAGCCTAAGTAGGATGTGTTGTAAGAGTAACACATCTTTTGTCAGTAGCTTTATTGATTTGTTGTCAAAGTAGAAGAGAGTTTTCAAGATAACAGGCATGGTAAAGTTGTTTCCAAATAGAGTGGGCATGTTAAAGCCATAGTTGAATACAGGAGGGGTTGGTGAAGATGAGTAATTGTTAAAATTTTATTATATTATAATGATAATAATACAATATTGATATAATATTACATTTCTATAGTTTAGTAGCACTATATTAAAATATTGTTATAATGTTTACTTATATTTTATTTAAAGCAAAAAATAAAACCATAAGCTTTTATTTGAAGTTTTCAAAAGTACTCTAATGCTATAGATATAGAATTTTATATTACATTTATATTTATAAATAATAAAGCAATATAGTTTTGTATAGTATAAGCAAATACTCTAAAATAATTAAATTTGATTAATAGTAATTCTAAATTATTAGAATTAATTCTAAATTATTATAATATTAACAAAATAATAAATAAAATTCTTTAAAATTTATATACAGTAGTACTTACAAATCTTCATAAGTAATAATATAGAAACAGAAATCTGAATGTTTGTTCTTTTGTCATGATAGCATTCAACATTATATGTTCTGCTAGTATGCAAATTGTTAATAACTAATGAATGCTTTATGTTCATTCTTTTCAACTCCAAATTTTTTATTATAACAATATTTAGCATTATATGTTCCATTAGTGTGCCCTATCTCTGCTAATTTGTGATAATAAGCAATTACCTTATGTTTATTCTTTATAACTCAATTTTTTCATCATAACAATATTCAACATTATATTGACTTTTGATAATAAGTGATTGCCTTTAGATTCATCCTATTCAACTCTAGTCCATTCTTATCATTGACCATGCTATTACCTTATTTGTGTTAAATAATACTTTTATTTAGTATAATAATTATTTAATGCTCTTAAAAATTATAAATTGCTTGATTACCTTTGGTGATCCAATAGAATTCAATGTATAAAATTTTAAAGTTATTAGATAAATCTAAAATGTTACAAATAAGAAGACTTGTTATTTTATTATTATTATTAAAACATTCAACAATTTAAAATCTAGTATAATACTATAGTTTCAAATTTCTATCAATAAATTGTATTACAATTTATTATGATTTTAATCTATTATTAAAGCATATTGCTTATACAAACAACAAAATGTAATTATCTATTAAGGTGTTAAAAAATACCCAAGATAATATAAATTTACAATTTTTTTAAATTGATTTATTATTTGAATTCTTATTTGAATTAACCTTTTGAACTTGTGATAGATTTGATTCTTGAAATACAGCAGAACTAATAAATAAACAAATATATTAAAAAAAAAATTTTTTTAATACTACAAAAAGATTATTTGCTATCTTTAATCTTACTGCTAAGTAAATTTTTCTGAATCTGCTGTAAATTTATAGATAAAAGTGCCATATTGAAAAATATATTTATTCTTCTTTAACTTTGTTTGCATTCAACTAAAGTTAACACTATATAAACTCTCATTATCTCTAAATAAAATATAACCTATTATTTTTAATTTTGGATCTTGTCACATATTTCAATTATCATAATTAACTTGTTGTTTTAATCTTTGTTCACCAATCTTATCTTGAAAAAAACAATAATATTTTTGTTGCACAGAACTATATTAAAAAGAAGGTTCATTTTCAAAAAAAAAACAAATATATTTTTCAGAAAAGTATGAATTAAAACTTGTTTTGCATCTATTGAATGCCTATTAAAGCCAAAACATTTTTTAACAAGAATTATAAATGCATTTTAGTAAAATGTGATTTGTTCAAGAAGTAGTTGAATAAGTAAATTGCAATGAGATATGATTTTGTTATTTTGATGCTTAGTTCTTGCATGATTCACAAGCTTTTTTCAGAAAAAAAAAATTACCTACCAAAGTTGGCATTTACTAACCATTGTGTAATTGTGAATTTTAATGATATTTTTTTTGTTATTGATTTTAAATTCTGATGATAAATTGAATAAAATTGTATGATTGGTTAACAATTATATTTTGATTATCATATATGACATAATGAATAGAAATAAATTCATCCATATAAGCTTAATAAAACTTCCTTGGTTGTAGCCAAAGTTACTTTTTTAATAACTCTATAGACTTTTACCAAAGAGCCAAACTCACAAGAAGTTGTTTTTTTTAACTCTTTTTCATATTACCTACATGCAGTCTGAAACTCTTGAACCCAAATACTATATAATAAAGTTTTGTTATATATAAACATACTAACTATATAATTTTTATAGATCAGTATATGTAGAAAAATTGGTGCAGAGGATTTTTGGTAAGAGTTTTTTTTGTTTTGAAACTTATTGCATTATATTTGTTTTTAATGCTTTAATTTTTTCTTTTATATAGTTATCTGTTGCTGCTGCTTCAATTATTATATTTATAACTTCTATATTTATTATTTCTTTATTTTTTTTTTGTTTTTATTTTTCTTCTAGATTTGTATTTTGTTAAAGTTCTTTCTTATTCATTACTACATTTACTACTTCAGTTTTTTGTTTTATTTTTTATATATATATCTGATATAATATTTTTCTTTTTCATTATTACTTGTCTTTTTTTATTTTTTATACTTTTTATTGTTATTAAGTTTTAATTTTTGTAATTTATTTATTTTATTCATTTTTTTATACTTGCTAAATATTTTGTGTTTACTTTAATTATTATTTTATATATTTTTTTTAATATTATTATTTTTATTAAATCTGTTTTTTATAATATTGCTGCTACTATATTTTTAATATTAAAGTAGTTGTTTTTATTTATTAGTTCTTGTTCTAATTCTTTGCTATCTATAAGTTTTAGTTCTGTCTTTGCTCTTTTACTTACTAGCTTTAATATTATTAACTTTTTTAACTTTATTTGTATTATCATTTAGCTGTTCTGTACTGCTATTTTTAAGTTGTTTACAATTATATATACTTTGTAATACTTATAGTATATATATATTTGTATATGTTTATTTGTTTGTCTTTTTATATACTCATATGTTTCAAACAAATCTATAATTCTAGATCTATATTATTTTTCTAAAATTTTTTTTTAAGATTTATTTAATAAGTTTGTTAATTTTTTATTTGTTATTTAGTTTATTTTTTTTAAATATTACATCTGTTAAGTCTATTTTAGATATTCTTTCTTTTTAAATAGGTCTTTAGACATAGTTTTAATACTAGTTTTTATATAAACTTTAATTTTATTTTTTATAAAATTTATATTTTTATAATTATTATAAAAAGTTTTGTTTAACTGATAATATTTTTTTATAAAAAAAAAAGTAAATTAAATATAAAAGATAATAAAAATATAATAAATAATAAAGATATAGTAAGGGGTGTAGCAACTTAGTAAAGTAGATAAGTTGTCAGTTCTTCAAGTAGTAGATTAGATATTCAAAACCCACTGATAATATAAATTTAGAAAACTATCTATTTAATATTTGTATTATAGAAGATAAATAGTACTACAGCAATGGCAATTTATCGATCAGTTGAGATAAAATATCTGTAACTATAGTTATATCAGCATAACTGGCATGTTATAGGGCATCTGTAAAATATTAAAGTTACACAAAGAAATACAAACTAGTATTAGGCAATGCAAACCTAAAATAAGTTCTTATAACTGTATAAATCTATAAAACTAGAAAGCTAAAGCCTATTTGGAAAGATCTAAGTAGAGAGATAGCATAGATTTTTAGCAGTATTATTATAAAGACTAGATCTAGAAAATGAATGTCTATATTGAAGGAATCAGGTAGGCAAAAGTCTTAGATAAAAGATACTACCAACCAGACTGCCAAAAGTCTTAAACCAGAAAAAAAGAATTTTGGAAAGCAGACCTTTAAGATATTAGAGACAGGTTACAGTCCTTCTAAACTATTTGGATTGAAAGTTTGAGATCTAAAGCAAAGTATAGCTAAGTATTAAAAATATGCTATGAAGTCAGTACTGAGGTCTAAATAAACTTTACAAGAGCAAGCTCTGTTAACAAAGATTAAATATAGATAGTTAGTTAGCAAAAAGTCTTCTAGAGCCTTACAATCAGATGATATACTCTAAAATATGTAACTACTTAACAGATATATATACAAAGAGATTAGGATTAAATTAGATATTACTTTAGTATATAGAAACTTGTATGCTATTTGCTAGTATAGTATAAGGGTTACAATATACAAGTTATATAATTATAATTGAATTCACAATAAAGATAGTAGCTACTAATAAATAATGACCTTAGCAAAAGTAAAAAAATAAAATAAAATAAAAATATAGTAAATTTGTTATATGTATACCTAGTTTTTTTATTTATAATAGATTATTTAATAATAGAATTTATTATAATTTAAATAGATATAGTTTAAGTTTTTTAAAAATAAATTATAATTAATGTAATTAGTATATATATTAAATATATAATTTAATTAGTTAATACTTATATATATATTTAAATTTAAAGATATAACCTCACTATTAATATTAAAAAAAAAATTAAATTTGATAATTTAAATAAAAAATATAATTTTATAAATTAATGCATTTAAATATTAACAAGATTAATAATTATATATTAACTAATATTTTAAAAAATAAAATTTTAATAAAAAATTTTTAATAAAATAAAGAATTACTATAATACAAAAATCTTTATTCTAGTAGGTGTGATGACCTAGTGAAGTGGTCAGATTGTTAACCCTCCAAGTGGTAGGTTGGATGTTCAAATCCTATTAATAGTAAAAATTTAGATAATCACCTATGTAATATTCATATTATGGCAACTGTTATTAATGATTGAGTTAGAATACCTGTAATAGTAGTTACATCAGTATGACTGGCAGATTATAAAGCATCTGTGTAAGATGGCATTATACAGAGGAATGCAAACTGACAAATCGGGCAGTGCAAACACTAGATAAGTCCTTGTAGCTGTGTAAATCTGTTGAAATTGGATAACAAGAAGTCTATTTGGAAAGATCCGAATAGAGAAGTAGCTGAATCTTTAACAGTTTTACTGTAAAGGCTAGTCTGGGAAACAGATATTAAAGTCATAGTATCTAGTTATAGTAGCCAAATGGAAAGAATCTCTGGGTTGGAAGTCTCAGGAATATTACCAACCAAAGTGCTAGAATAAACTAGAGGAAAAAAATATTAGGCTGACCTAATATATCAATAAACTGGTCATAGTTCTATATGAATTATCTGAATTAGAAGTTTGGTAAAAAGGCAGTTGAAAAGGCAAAAGTATACTAAAGTACTGGAGTTATGCTGTGAAGTAGATGCTGGGATCTAAGTAAACTCTACAAAGGCATAGCAGTTAAATGGTTAAGCCCTAACCACAAGTGTTGGTTCTACTATAGCAATATCTAAATCAGCTATAAAAATAGGTACAAAAGGCTCTGAGGGGTTTACCTCAAGAATAAATTAGTCCTAAGGTTAAGACAATGTTCTGGGCATCTGGGTATGACCTAGTGAGTTAACACAGATTACAGGTTCAGAAGGTTTAAAGTAGAACACCCAAGTAGGTGTATTAGATACAGCAATTAATAAGAAACTTTTGGATAGACTTTTTAAATAGGTAATATAGAAAAGTTATATATGTAGCCAATTGTATGCTCTCTTGTAGTGGTTCATTAAATCACAATATTAATAAGTGATTAATAAAAGTCAAAAGACCAAAGAGGTCATCTTAACACCATAAAAAAAAATCTTTAGTTTAATATATAAAATTAATTATTTTTAAAATTTTATAAAAAATAAAAAATAGTTAAAAAAAATTTTTTTTATAAAAATATATAATAAAGTAAATAGAACAAAATTATAAAATGAGAGTATAGTAACTTAATAAAGTAGCAAGTTGTTCATCTTTCAAGTGGTAGGTTGAATGTTTAAATCTTATTATCAACAAAAATTTGAATAATCATCTATATAATATTTGTATTACATTAACTATTTCTAATGATTATATTAAAATATCTATAATAGCAATTATATTAGCATAATTGGCATGTTATAGCGTATTTGTATAACTAGTTATACAGAGAAATGCAAATTGGCATTAGATGATACAAACTTTAGATAAGTTCTTATGACTATATAAATCTATTAAAATTAAAAAACAAGAAGTCTATTTAAGAAGATCTAAATAGAAAAATAATATGAATTTTTAATAGTGCTATTATAAAAACTAAACTAATAAAAACAAATACCAATATTAAAGTACCTAAATAGGCAAAAACTTTTGAATTAAAAGTTCCAGAAGTATTATTAATCAGGCTGCTAAAACAAACTAGAAAAAAAGAATATTGGGCTAACCTGATATACTGATAAACTAATTATAGTTCTATATAGCCTATCTGAATTAAAAGTTTTGAGAACAGACAAAGATATAATAAAGTATTATGAATATACTATAAAATAGATACTAGAGTTCAAATAAACCCTATAAAGATATAGTAGTTAAAAATAAAACTCTGATTACAAGTATAATTCTGCTATAGTAATATTAGATTAAATATAAAAATAAGTATAAAAAACTCTAAAAAATTTATTTTAAGAATAAAATAGCCTAAGGTTGAGATGATTTCATGGACTTAACTCAGTAATGTTAATACAGATTGCAGATTCGGAAGGTTTAAAATAGAACACTTAAGTAAAAGTGTTAGATACAACAATTAGTAAAAAACTTTTAAGCAAACTTCTTAAATAGGTAATATAAAAAAGTTATATGTAAGGGGTGTGGTGACCTAGTGAAGTGGTCAGGTTGTCAACCTTCAAGTGGTTGATTAGGTGTTCAAATCCTATTGACAGCAAAAATTTGGATAATTACCTATGTAATATTCATATTACGGCAACTGTTACTAATAATTGAGTTAGGATACCTATAATAGTAGTCACACCAGCATGACTGACAGATTATGGGGCATCTGTGTAAGTATGGCATTACACAGAGAAATGCAAACTGACAAATTAGATGGTGCAAACACTAGATAAGTTTTTATAACTATATAAATCTAAGTCTATTTGAGAAGATCTGAGTAGAGAGGTAGCTGGATCTTTAATGACCCTATTGTAAAGGTTAGTCTGAGAAATGGATACTAAAATCATAGTACCTAGTCATAGTAGCCGGACAGACAAGAACCTTCAGATTGGAAGTCTTGGGAGTACTACCAACCAGACCACTGAAACGAATCAGAGGAAAAGGATATTGGGCTGACCTGATATACTGATAGACTGGTTATAGTCCTACACAGGCTATCTGGATTGGGAGTTTGGTAAAAAGGCTGGACAAAAGGCAGAGGTATACTAAAGTACTAAAGTTATGCTGTGAAGTAGATGCTAAGGTCTAAGTGAACTCTACAAGGGCATAGTGGTTTAATGCTGATCGCAAGTATTGGTTCTGCCATAGTGATATCTAGGTCAGCTGTAAAAATAGGTACAGAAGGCTCTGAGGGGTTTATCTCGAAAATAAATTAGTTCTAAGGTTGAGGACAATAATCTGGTGCATCTGAGATAATCAGTGATATTAACACAGGTTACAGGTTCAGAGAGTTTAAAGTAAAACACCCAAGCAGAAGTGTTAGATATGGCAATTGGTAGAGAACCTTCAAGTGAACTTCTTAAATAGGTAATATAGAAAAGTTACACATGTAGCCAATTGTACACTCTCCTGTAGTGATTCATTAAACTACAATACTGATAAGTAATTAATAAAAGTCAAAAGATCAAAGAGGTCACCTTAATACCAAAAAAAAAAGTTATATGTATAATTAATTGAATATTCTCTTTGTAGTAGTTTATAAAATCATATTATTAAAAAAGTTTTTAATAAAATTAAAAGACCAAAGAGGTCATCTTAATAACAAAAAAAAAATCTATAAAGTTTGTTTTATATATAACAAAATTTAATAATATTATTTTTTAATAAAATAAAATTTTGATTATATATATAAAATATATAATAAATTTTTTAAAAAATATAATAAAATTTTAAAAAACAAAAATTAAAAGATTAACTAATTAAAATTTAGTATTTTAATTATTTTTAAAAAAAATTTTATAAGATGTAATAACTTAGTAAAATAGATATATTGTTAATTGTTCAAATAAAAATTAAATATTTAAAACTTATTAACTTATTAATAATAAAAATTTAAATAACTACCTATATAATACTTATATTATACTAAATAATTTTACTAATTGAATTAAGGTATCTGTAATAATATTTATATTAGTATAACTAGCAAGTTATAAAATATTCATATAACTGATTATACAAAGAACTGCAAACTATTATTAAATAGTATATATTCTAGATAAGTTTTTGTAATTATAGAAATCTATTGAAATTGGAAACAAGAAGTTTATTAGGAAGACTTAAGCAAAGAAGTATTACAAATCTTTAATAATACTATTGTAAAGGCTAACTTTATAAAACAGATATAAATATAAAGTAGTTAGATAGATAAAAACTTTTGAATAAGAGATATTACTAATCAGACTATCAAAATAAACTAAAAAAAAAGATATTAGACTAATCTAATATACTAATAAACTGATTATAGTTTTATTATATTATTTGAATTAGAAGTCTGATAACAATATAGGATATACTAAAGTATTTTAGATATGTTATAAAGTAATACAAATTTTTGAGTAAACTCTGTAAAAATATAGCAGTTTAATAACTAATTCTAATTACAAATATTAGTTCTATTATAATAATACTAGGTTAATTATAAAAATAAGTATAAAAGGCTTTAGAAGGTTTATTTTGAAGATAAAATAGTTCTAAGATTGAGACAATAATATAAACATAACTTAGTAATATTAACATAAGTTACAGATTTAAAAGATTTAAAATGAAATACTTAAGCAAAAGTGTTAGATATAGCAATTAGTAAAAAACTTTTAAACAAACTTCTTAAATAGGTAATATAAAAAAGTTACATATATAACCAATTGTATATTCTTTCTGTAATAGTTTCTTATAGAACACATTATCTAAAAAGAATTAATAAAAATAAAAAAAACTAAAAAGATCATCTTAATACTAAAAAAAAAATCTTAATTTAAGAATTTCTATATTATATAATAGATTGTATTTGATCAAAAACTTTTATTAAATTATATGAAAAAAGTTAATAGAAAAAGAACAAATTTTTTTAAATAAAAGGTTTTTTAACTTTAAGCTTAAATATCTCAATAACTATTTAACCAAATTTGATAAATTTTTTTATTTTAATTTTATCTCTTAATCTGTAGACTGTAGCAAACAAATTTGCTTGCTTAATAGTCCAAATATAATAATAATC